ACCTGTCCGTAAACAAGCTCGGAGTGGGACGGGGTGGCAGAATGACACCTGCGCACGCAGGTGCGCCTGCGCAGGTGTTTTTGTTTTGCACAAACAAGCATATAATTAAGTTTTATCTAGGGCTATTTGTTTATGATGGAATTGCCATAAAATTAGACATACATTCTTAGCAGATATAACTGTTAATATTGTAACCACAATTCCTACTTTATGAAATAATAACAGCTGACATTAGATATATTCACTACCTACGTAATTTTTATCGGCAATACGAATAGAAAATTCGCGAAGTCATGGCGTCTCATTATATTGATATAATAAATCTGTATTTTTGTACATACATATATTACTCTGCAGTAAATAAATGAAGACTACAATAACTGAATGAGTATCAGACGTAAGTTTTTTTTACTTACTTCGTTTCATCTTTCGCAAAATGATGATAAATAGCCGTACTTAGCACAATTCACGAACATTATAAATAGATGTTTTATATTAACGTACAAGTTTCGTAATGAATAAATGAAAACTATATTCAAATATCAAAGCCATCTTCGCGCGAAAACGGCTCGCCGTCATCCTTGTTGTCGTTCAGTCAGTACTACTTTTAAAGTAGGGAGGGGCGCTGAGTGTCCGTTCTCGTATTGTTTAATCTCTGCCTAAAGTATCTTGCTTATTATTTTCAGGAGAATATGCTTTCCGAATGAGCAGTAGAGTTTAATCAATTTTACGTAATATATAAACTCAAAACAATATTGCAAAAGCCTAAATTTAACAACTACTATGGCAAACAAACATCTGAATATATTGTATCTACAGACCACATAAATTTTGATTGTACGAGAACACATTAATCAATTATTTAAAGAAATTCGTGATTAAATCAATTCTAAAAATATTAAAATAATACTCAAAAGATACTTTTCAATTTTTTATCATAAAATTTTACTCCTTAGTTAATGTCTATTTACGTATAGTAATAATACATATTATTCATAAATACTACATCTGCAAAATTAAACTTATTCTTTGCTTAATCTGCTAACATTAAGAATACATAACAGTAACATAACATTTGTTTTTGGAGCATTTACACTTGTTAACAAACCAGTTTCCGGATGGTTCGCTCAGTATCTAGTGGAATAATAAAATACTTTGCCGTTGGGTCTTCACTTTTTGTACAAATGTCTCCAAATAAAGACAAAAACAATGTCTACCTACTTACAAGGGTTTTTTTTTTAATGTTTTGTATTAGTTCGTTCGTAGCAGAAGGAATAAATGGCATCGAGACAAACCCAAGTTGGGTTTAACGGTACTTTACAATATTTACTTTTTTCTTGAAATAATAAAATAATTTAATATAAAAAATAAACAAATAATTTACTTAAGTAGTCTTGTATAAAGAGATACCAATAAAACCATTTTAATTAAGTTTATTGAGCGTCAGGATGTCTCACCACCATGATGTTCAATTATTAAATTCAAGGCAAAAAAGTAGTTAAAAACCTAAACAAAGATCTGCAACATGCACAGAAAAATTCGTGAGGTCCACTGGTTCCGTTCCGTGGTTCCGCGGTTTAGTTAGCATAGCGTCCAGTGGCAAGGCGTAAAAATTTTCCTTGGTAAGGGCGAAGCTTTAACTTTTTGAAGAAATGAAAAACACTTATTTAAAAATAAAACTTATTTAACAAAAAAATATTTTCCTGTTCAAAAGGCGCAAAGGCGACATTAAAATATAACACTTATTAGTACACAATATACTAGTTCACTTTATTTCATTGATTAACTTATTCTACACATAAAATAATTATAGTTTTTAAAGTAATTTACTACATTTTATGCTCCCCGTCGTGATACGAAAGTCTGTTAGTAAACAAACTCATGAATGCTTAGTCACACTCTGGACACTCCATACCATGGTCGAAAGTTATTTACCTACTACTACTACAAACAGCAAAGATCTATTTACACACGCGCAAATGTGTGCGTGAAGTATAAGGGTTAACCACTTTCTCGTATCTATTAAGTACGTGGTAAGAGCGGCAATATAGCTAAAATTCTAACGCGAATCAGTTAGTTAATGATATTAAAAGCAAGCAATTTGTTAAAAATATTATAAGCACTTAAAATGTTACATGTCGTATAGGTACGCTTAAATAAGATAACCAAGGTATTTGAAATTGCTTGTCCAACTTTATCATTAGCTAGTTAATAACTATATGCACTACATAATATTTATCGGCAATACAAATTGAAAGTTCGAGAACCCTTGCCTACTAGATCATGAACTTACGGCTTCTCATAATATTGATATAAGCAATCTTAATATAATCTGTATTATATATTACTCTGCACTAAATTAATGAGTCAAAGTCACAGTCAAAGTCAAAGTCAAAGATTATTTATTCCATAGGTAAAATAAATTTACACTTGAAAACGTCACATTTAAGCTACTGCTCGTTCACTACGCTGACCTCCCTGAGAAGAAGGAGCAAGAAACTGTAGGGATTGCTCTTTTCAAATAAACTTAAATGCTATGAAATACACTTTGAATCAAATTTGTGTGGATTTTGGAGCCATGTCGTCTTTCCATACATTTTTATCTAACACGTAGTCTTCAATTTTGTAATATGATTTTTCGATCAATGATCAAAGATCAATGAAGAAAACAATAATTAAATATGTCTCAGACATAACTTTTTTTTTACTTAGTTCGTTTCATCTTTCGGAAATCAAAAGAAACTCCTCTCTATATGTCGGTTTGATGACGATAAACAGCCGTACAGAGCATAATTCACGACCATTATAAATAATAACGTACAATGATGTTACATATTAACGTACAAGTTTTGTAATGAAAACATGAAAACTATATATTCAAATATCACAGCCGTCTTAGCGCGAAAAGGCTAGCCGACAGCCTTGTTGTCGTTCAGTCAATGTGACCGTCAATGTGCGGAGCGTGGTGCGGTATCTAAAGCTAGGGAGGGGCGGAGAGTGTCCATTCTCGTTACTTTTTTGTTTTCTGGCTAAGTGTTGCTATTTTAATTACCTACGAATTACCATGACTTTCTACATACATTCTTTACGTAGCTCTATTAAAAAGAAACACCCAAACAGAAATAGATACATACAACACTGTTATCGTTAAGATTTACAAAATACAAATTAATCATATTTCGAGTTAATTTGCTATTAAGTATAATAATTTTGGCACATTACTTTAAGAGTTAAATATCTGCCAACGATTCTGACATTAACACGAATAAATTGTAATTTGTTGGAATAAGGTTCAGATTTGCGTGAACGCTATTCGACTATAACCCGATTTATTCCCGTTTCTCGGCCTTTTCTTTAAATGTTATGGAGCGCATTTTTACAAATGTGTGCGTGTGTTTTGATGTGAGCGCGAAGATTTCATTGAATAGAACCAGCAGATCAGCTGGCTTACCTCGCGCTGATTAGTTGAGATGCATCGGGATAAATTATTTCGCGTTTATTAATGAATATGTTTTTTAAGTAGTGGGGTATGCGCGCTGTTTAGTGCAATCTCTTGGTAATACGCGGAAAATTTTAGGCAAGCCGGTCGGAATCGGGTTATATGAATGCCTCGCCACTGGTAGCGTCTAGTACGATTTGTCAGAAACATCTATATAATTATTACCGCTAAGGGAGTGCGTAGTTTTAAATGGGATAACATTATTTGATCGTCAAAGATATAATTGACGTATTGTGAATGTGCACTTTTTTAAAAAAGCTATATTTTTTTATGTTTGATACACACACATATATACCTACATTAGTTGAACTACGGATAAATTATAAATGAACTGCACTCGCTGAATATGAATTTATTATATAGTAGCATACTAAATTCATATTCGGCGAGTGCTAGAAACGAATTTGCTGCGTTCCCGAACATGATTTCAGGTCAAATTAATAAGTAATATAATGTAAGTATAGAAATATTTTACTAAATCAAAATAAAAAAATATTTTACAGAATTATAAAAAATAAGTACTTATCTAAATTTTATTTTTAATCAAATTTAAACAAATCAAAAATTTTTTCGCGTAACTGAGATTATTCAAATATCAATTGATTTAATTTATTAATGTCTCAGGGAAATAGGATCAATTATTTAAAAAGATGACCGTTTAGATTTTTTTAGCCTGCTGCTTTTGCAAATTTAAATGATCATTTAAATACATGACGTTTTAAATCTGAAATGTGGAAGGCACGGACTCAGAACATTGTCCTAAAGCTGAACATTTTTTAATAAAAAAATAAGCTCGCGATTGACCTTCATCTTCCCCGACGGATAGTGACTAAAATGACATACACACTTAAATAATGCCTATTCACTCTCGCCTTGAAAAAGTCCAAGTTATAGCATTCAGGAATAAATCAGCAGCCAGGGAATTCCAGTCCATAGTCAGTCGTTGAATTTCAAAAATGTACCTCATCGTTGACCAAATTTCTGCAAAGCTACGAGGCCTGCACGTAGATTCTATAGTCCTGGCTGCCTGCAGAGCATCACCCACTTATTGCTCGAGATGTTCTTCCTGGCCAAATACATTTTGATTTTTTTACACAAAATAGTTCTTTCATTAAATGTTTTGACCGTGTTAAGGATAAAACATTATTATATTATATTTTCCCTAAATCTGTTATGTCTAAACACTTGTGTATTTTACGTCAATGCGACTTGTACATCATTTGATTGTGGTCTTATTTATTAGACTGATGTGTGTAGAGTGAATTAACACTCTCCTTATTACGTTTCTTGGTAAGTTTGCTTTATTATTCTTTTTATACGACTTAATTCTGATTTTATTTTCTAGCAAGTTTATGAATTATGATAAATAGCACTAAGGTATCAATAACGTATAATAGATTGTATTCTTAAATTTCTATGCGAAGTTATCCTCAACAAATTTTTAGTGTTCCCTTTTTCAGCTACAATGGAAAACTCATGTTTATTGCTTTTGTTGTGTGTTATGTGTGTGACACATGCTTTTTCTGTGGATTCCAATGAACTTTTACAACAGGAATGGGAAGTGTTCAAGGTATGTTACTTATTCTTTTTTTTTGCACACTCATAGCCAAGCACTACAGAAGCCCTGTGTAGCGGTTGCCATGTACACACACATAGACAACCATAAATTACACCCAAACTCAGGAGAGAAATAAATGTAGGCCATACAAATATTTCTCCCGGCCCGGATTTTTATAACTTTTGATAACGAATTTTGATAACGTTTATAAACGAAACTCGACTGTTATGGGCAGGCGTGTAGCTTACCATCAGGCACACGACTTGTTCGTCCCGTTACTTAATGTCATAAAAAAAAAAAAAAAAAAAAGACTACATAGTCTGAAAATTAAACGACGTCCTGAAACCCAATAAATTAACTGAAACTTAAATAAGAGCAGAAACTAAAAATTACAATTTTGCAGAAATGTGTGATTTTTCTTTTATCGAGTGAAGTTTAGTCAGTCATGTTCCAGGTCCCATAATTAACTATCAGTACCTCCAGTTTTAAATATAAAGTAAAAAAAATAAATAAATCGAATTCGTGCTTTTTAATCTCGAAAAACCGATTTTCCGTATGGTCGACATACGTCAAAAGTATTTTTGGGTTTCACTTCGCCTTGAGCAAAAATCCCTGTCGCCCTTTACAGCCTTTTATTGTACGTTTATAAAAATACCACGTCTTTGGAATGTGCCGAACTTAGAATGATTTGCAGACATCGAAGTCTGGAGATCATATTGTTGTTTTCACAATTAATCTTTGTACACTTCGTATCAATCTTCTCAACTACTTTAACTAGTCTTCTAATTATAACAACATGACATTTAGTATATCTATAAGTTGGTCATTATTATTGTTAGATATTTATTTTAGACTCTCGCCATGGCCTGAAATATTATTTTAAATTTAATGGGAGAGGCATTATTCCCCGCCAACGGCACAGTCGGCCGGGGTCAGGGAATCAAGTTAAAGAACCAATGAATAATACGTCCGTATCGAGCAGGACAGTCTTCTGCATTTGTACCTACTGAAAGCAACTCGCCACAGAGTCACCTCAAGCTGCTAACGAGGCTGACTTGAAATGACCCATTTGCGGACAAAGACAGTTACATACCATAAATTAAATGTGATATAGATCTTATCCAATTGCACAACTCATTATGAGTGAACACAGCTTGCAAAAACAACGTAAATTTAATAAATATATATATTAAAAATAATAGCTAAATAAAAAAATACAAACAAAAACAGTAGATACAAGAGAATAAAAATAGTAATTTAATTAAGGTTTAATACCACGTCTTATGTGTACATTATAGATTATTTATTTAATTTAATTTAATTTTATTTTATATAATCAATAAAAATTCTATAGCGTTTTTATACATATTTTACAAAATGTCCTGTGGGAAGTACAGTAGCCAATTACAGAAACTCACACACGTATACAAAATGTGTGATATGGTTACACTATTGGGTAGAAAAATAAATAAAAACTATTACTATAAAAACAACGTTCATAACTAACTGCAAATTACTAATATAAATTATCGAGTATACGCCTGTGTATGTGTGCGTGTGTGATGGTGCTTGAGTATGACTTCTCTTTCCTCAAAGAACGTGCCGAAAAGAAAAGATACCCAATTTCCATTATGTCGTAGCTCTACATTTATCGTTGGACGACTGTCGCATCTAGCCTGTTCCATATCACGACTAACTGTAGTAACTGTGTCGTGGGTTAATCGTGTTTTTATAATAATAATAAAATATTTTTATTCATCGTCTTAGGTAGAAAAGTACATAATAATATTGGCGCAGTTTTGATGTTATATAATTTTTAAAAGTTTCTCTATGATGCACCATTTGGTACAAGAATATTGCAAACATAATTAATTATCGGCATTGACAGTATTTCATAAAAAAAAATTCATATGTACAATATTGTTAGTACTATGTAAGTACATATGTCAAATTGAATTATTAATATCCATACTAATTAATAACATTGAAACAAATAAATTCATTCAAAAACTAAATTAATTACAAATGTCAATCCGCGACGTAGGCTTCCTCAGCTGAATAAGATCAAGTTATAATGTTATTTAAGAAATCGTTGATGTCATAGTAAAATTTATCTATTATTTTTTATTATGACCGGTGCAAGTTGAACAACTCTCTTTTTAAGTAGAGCTGTTTTGGAGATCTTTGTGCACAATACTTGTGGCCTTGGTTGTAAGTTACAATTTTGTACCGTGAGTCTAATTGTGAAGACGTTTTGGTACATTTTAAAAAAACTTGGGATTTCGAGTACATACAGGCAAGGAAAAGTCAACAGACTTAGAGACTTTAAAAAACTTGTTCTGTATGTGAACAACTTCATTTAATTATACAAACCACGACACTTTAATCTGCACGACTATCTGTCCTCGCGACATAATAGGAACGCGCCCTTTATGCTTGCTTCCGGCTTTAAATTACATTCAGTATTTTGTACATCTAATAAAATAAAAATGCAATGAATCTGTAAACCGATTACGCCTTTATGTATCGGGTTTCATTATTACAAAGTAATGAGCCTGCCTCTATTTCTGCCACTAAGAAGTGATGTGAGCATTAAAATTACAGGCATTATAAAATTTGTCAACTTATGTCGCAGAGTGACGGGCCAGTGGCAGTGACCCTCAGATCTTTGGGATTTAAAGTTCTAAGTGCTATGCACCAGGCGTGTCGTTCACCACCAGCCGCGCGACTTGTTCGTCCTGTCACTTGTAATCATAAACCTACTAGTCTCATTTTCAATCCATTCATACGTCCCACTGCTGGTCCGGGGTTTCCTCTCAGGTGAGGATTTTAGGCCATAGACCGCCACGTTCGCTAAATCCGGATTCGAGACTTCATACCTCTCATCTCTAAGTTTTTCGGGATCTGCGGTGAAGGAATACATCGTTACGAAACCTGTACGTCAGAGGAGGTTCACAACACTCGGAAAACTTACTAGTCAACATTAAACATTATGTAACTAATATTTTTTTACACGGTTTTTTATTTCATTTCAGCTACAACACAATAAAAACTATGAAGAATCTGAAGACGAGAAACGTTTACAAATTTTCATAAAAAATAAGATTTACATTGCTAAACATAATCAGTTATACGAGAAAGGCGAACGAAGCTATAGTTTAGAGATGAACAGATTTGGAGATTGGACAGATGAAGAAATCGACGAGAGATTATATGGTTACTATGATATTAAGAGGTGATAGAAATACATACTATTAACAATAATTGATTTTCCTATTTATCAAATTTTGATAAAGTATCTAGCAACTTAGGTGATGACTTTATATTCCGTCTTTATTAGCTCTTTAAAATGTCATCTTTCAAAGAAGAGATCGCAAATGGGCAATAGTATTTTCCATCACACTTGCTCGTAAACAACATTATGACATACAGGCAAAGTCAATCGTTATGTCCTAAATTATGCTCACGGGCGTTTTCGTTATACTATCGCCCTATGGGTTTTTTTACGTCAAGATTAAGCAAAAAGTTTTTATGCTCCAAAAATCTGAATGTATATTTAGCAATAAACTTGAAGTTTAAAAAAACTAAACATTTGTAATTTGATTATATTTTACTAAATTTATTTTGTGAATTTATATTCTGCAGTATTTTTAGAATTTGGAAACAATTTATTACATATCTAATACATTGTAGCTGCATGCGCCTGCGCCTTTTATAACATTTTAGTTAGAGTTGTAATATCTATGGAAGAAGCTGATCAAAAAAAAAAACAGAAAACCCGTCATTTGCTGAATCCTCAAATGTTATATGAAGCGGTATTTATTCATACAAGAAATAAATTATCGTTGTATCTATTTTCTTATAAATGAAAAACATTGTATGTAGCACGGGCGGTAAAAATTACAAACTCCAAGTCCTTAAAGACATTTAGTAATAACACACACACTCAATAGAGTTACAGTTTCCTTTTATGAGATCAGGTTTTTACGACCAATGCCCCTGCCCAATGGATTTGTGTGTCCATAGAGTATCAAAAGGATTTGTACGTTTGATATTCCGTTAAAAGTTAAGAGTAGCCATCGAGCTACTATGCAACTGCCATTGCAATTTTTTCATATTCTGCTCTTCAATCTTTAATCTGCTGATAACTTGACATAAAAACACCATTTAATTTTAAGACTAAATTGCTGCCTAAATGAGATAAAAATTAAAATATTCGGAGTAATTTCCATGGGAGTTATAAGGCAACATTGTTTTTAATAAGTAAACAGTGCGCATTTGACCTCCATCTGACCTGATGGAAAGCGACGATGAGGTCGACGATGCACACTTAAATAGTGCCTATTCTCTCTCGCCTTGAAAAGGCCCAACTTATAGCGTTCGGGGTGGGAATTCCACTCCTTTGCCGTTCGCCGTATAAATGTGGAAGCGAAACGCCTCTTTTTGGAATATCCACAACAACATAGATCATTAGTAATTGAATTAATTAATAGCAACACTATCATTCCACTAACACTCAACTGCCATTGGAACTAGATTTTAGCAGAATAATAATTATTATCATAATTGCATTATAATTTCAGTGGAATATCAATGCTTTCAACAGGTTTCAAGAAAATTATCTGAATTGGGGCTCCGTACTTTTGTTGATGTGATTGAAAGTGAAAGTGAAACATTGATTGTTATGCCTTTATCTGATTTTCCATCACAGGCATTTCAAAAAAACTAAAGGAACTCCGTACACCCCTCCGGCCAACTACAGACCACCTAGCCGTATGGACTGGCGTAGATTGGGAGCTGTAACCGCGGTTCAAGATCAGACGCCTTGTGGATGTTGTTGGGCTTTTAGTGCCGTAAGCATCGAGTTCTTTAGTTTTCGAGATTGTTACACATAAGAAATGACACTATTTTATCGGACCTAAATAAAACTAACATTTTACAGGTCACGTATGTAGCGTTAATTAGGTATGTTTTTTGGTAAATTAAAAATAAGGCTTATGACACAACTCAATTTCAAGGGACGTGGCATTACAAAAAACTGGCTCTTAAATAGGATGATGATGAAATAAATATTAGTCTCATAATGACCGACGCCATAAGTGCATAGATTGTTGTTCTTTAAAATAACTCATCGTACAACATTTTGATTTTATTCAGATCGGGGCATTGGAGGGTCAGCTCTACCAAGCACAAGACCGCCTAGTTAAACTATCGGAACAGCAACTTGTAGATTGCGCAGATGAACATTACGGTAATTTTGGCTGTAGAGGAGGTTCACCGGCAAACGCATTTGACTATACAGTGGAATTTGGCGTTGAAACGGCAAGAAAGTACCAATACATTAGCCAACAAAAAAAATGCGAGTTAGTTATACTATGCTATTTGTTACTTAGCTATTTTCAATATAAAATTGGTGATGGTAGATGATCACGCGCTGAAGGTCGCATAACTCGTGTTATAACGATTACTCAAAAAGTGTTCAGATTCTAATAGACATCTCCTTAATTGTTATTATACGTAATTGTTATACACATCGCTCAGCGAGCTATGGAAAGATCTATGCTGGGTATCTCGTTAAGGAACAATGTCCGGAATGAAGTATCCAAATACATAAGACTACAGTTGTGGACATCGTCCAGAAATGTAGCAAACTGAAGTGGCAGTGAGCTGACTCCTATCGCAGAACCGATGACCGATGAAGTTTGCCGAGTCACAATAAAAAAAAAAAAAAAAGTAGATCTCGAGTGGAAACCACGTCTTAGCTAACGTAACGCAGGACGTCCCCCAGCAAGATGGACCGACGATCTGAAGAAGGTCGCGGGTAGTGGTTGAATGCGGAAAACGGGTGATTAGGCACTATGGCGTACACTTGGGGAGGCTTATGTATAATTGGTATTATTATTATTATTATAAGTCTATTCTGTCCTACTGCTAGGCAAAGACTTCCCCTTTTTTTAATTAACTCTGATTTTGGGTGACATGTGGCCAGCCCTTTAAAAAGGAATCCAAATCGTTCCGCCATCACCGACGAGTTGTGGAACTTTCACACCGTGGTTATCTTGGCCCACAACTCACTTAGCATACGGTAGACGTGACCTGCCTAGTCTCACTTCACCATAGTCGCCTTCGAAGCTACATCGACAACTTGAGTTACATGAACATCTTAAAAAAAATTGACACAAATAAAATTATGACATTTTTTATTGCAGTTACAAAAAAAAATTTGTTGCTGTCAAAGCTTCAGACTACTTGCTCATTTCGCCTACTGAAGACAATCTGATGAAAACCGTTGGGAAATTTGGACCTGTCTCTGTTGTCCTCGACGGACGTAATGCAGATTTCTTGTTCTACAAACACGGTGTTTACTACAACCCTTTGTGCCGCAACAAAAGTGGATTAAATCATGCAGTAAGTATAAATACATTCCCATATATTCAATGGATAATCACTTATAGTAGGTGCAAAGTTTTGTTCCACACTTTACAAGGGATTTATCAGGGAATTGATTCAATGATGCAATAGTCCGCAAGCAGTTAGTTAACATCGCGATTAGACTATAAATATAGTATAATAAGAGCAAGTAGGTCAACTCCCGCCTGTTCAGCGCGTAAATGACTACACTTCGCTCAGAGCGTAGGGTTGTTACTTTATTATTTTAGTTGTACGTAAAGGTTGTAAACATATCGTGAGTTTAGCAGCAGTAGAGCTCCTTGTAGAAGAGTTCGTCCAGAGAAGTACTGCCACCTTGCCTATTCCTATTGATATTTTTATACCAGTATCGCGGATTGGTTTCTTGATTATGGAGTATGATTATGAAATTGAAATGAAATGCTGAACAATTCTGAATTTGAGACGTTAACGGCGCGGGGGACCATCGAAGTTTCTACATACATTTCGACGATATGGAAATTTGAAATGTCTTAAGGGAGATTTTCCCATTTTATATGTCCCTTACGACCTTTTAAATTTCCACCGTCGATTTATGGGCAATAATTTTGTTGATGTATCGAATTTTGAAATACAATCAATATTGTTTAGTAAGGGCTGACTTTGCAACTATAAGGTATGTAATCTGTACTGTTTCGTGTAAGTACATATACTTTTAAATTTAACAGCAGCTCTTACGAATCAAGTCACGTGCCTGTACTTATATATAGGTTCATATAAAAAATGATTGACATTAATGTCGCCATTTTTAAAGCTAGGCAGAAATCTAGCTTCAAATTATTTTCGTCACAACATAGATCATGAAATTTGGAACTATATAAATAACTTTCTATGTATAAAACCCGTGGTAGTCTAATGGTTTGTTGACCTGTCGCCTCTCCAAGCAGAGGCCTCTGAATTTCTCGGAATTTGTGAGCTAAATTTAATTTAAAATTTATCATGAAATTTTCGGTGATGGTAGACATCGTGATGAAAACTGCACGTCGAAGAAGGTTCACTACCCTCGGAAGACGTGCGAAGTCCCCAACCCGCATTTGGTCTGGGCTCGCCTGAGATGAGACCCATGCCCACTAGTATCGTAAAGGATATTTTGCCATAAGGGAAAATGTTCCTTACGACATTTCAAATTTTCACCGGTGATATATAGTGTCAAAATGTTTCATTTCTTTCTTTTCAGGCATTGGTAGTTGGCTATGGTGCTCTGGAAGTCGAAGGCGATTACTGGCTCATCAAGAACTCCTTCGGTACTGACTGGGGTTACGAGGGATACATGCTTTTGGCTCGGAATAGAGAAAATAACTGTGGTGTGGCCACTAACGCTACTCTTCCTGTAGTTGGTGCTCGTGTCGATTTTATTAAGTCCAAATATTAAAAAAATTGTTTTATTTCATTCTAAAAAACTTTTTATTAGAATAAGAATACTACACGTCTTAAAATATTAAGGTGTACAAATTTATTTAAATTAAATTATATCACAAGACAAAAAAAAAGAAATAAATGATTTAATAAAGTCACTTCGCTAGTCATTAAGTTTTTTGTTGTCGTCAAGAAACTGGCTCGCCTGTGACGGCCAGATGTCGTTGGATGCCCTGGTAACTTCAAAGCGTGGCGCGAAAACGCATGCGTTCGGCGATTGTTCCATGTTTGACAGCGTAAGGCTCAATTTATAACATTGCGGCGGAATGGAATGGAAGCGAACTTTTGTAACGATATTGTACATAGCCTAATGAGCTTTATGGTGAATTGTGTAACATACAAACTAGATACGAGCCAAAATCTTCCGCGGAATGCTCAAGCAATCTCCCGCATGCGAGAATTCCGCGGAAGATTTTGTAACTTTAATTAAAATCCTTGCCATCGTAGTGAAAGAATTAGCCAATTGGCGTAAGGTACTTGCCGATTGTTGCCCATGGTGCGCCAGACGTACAGGGAAGGAATGATATAACGGCGATGCGTGACCTGCGGGGGTTATAATGCTTATAATATTAGGACAATTGCTGAGAGAACACATTTTAATATTTGTAATGCATAATAAATGTAAAATCCAATAAAGAACATTAAGTATTTGAATTTATTTTACCGCCTATTTCTTTTTTTTTATTGTTATGCGCCGGAGCCCCATCTTAAAGTACGAACATTGACAGTAAAATGCATTATAATTCAGATTCCTAAACTAACTCGTAGGTACTTGTTACTTATGACGAATTCAAATATTCATATTATATTCGACCCGGTTGGGATTATAAAAATATTGAATGTTTTTTTTTTCACATTTGGTCGGTGCGTATCCCAGATGAGACAAGCAAATTTTTAAAAGTATTTGAATAGACTATTACTTACTGTTAAAAATAATATGAAGCTTAATATCCTACCTACAATACTGCCCTCGTAACGAAAAAAGGCACAACTATGCTTACTTGATACAGCAGTTCTGCCTTTATACGCTCCGAGGGCAATTTAAAGTACTTTCCTTCCGTGTCGTATACTATGGTCTAGCTTTATGCAGATCGTACAGTGCCCTGCGAGTATAATATAATAAAACCTTCCGAGGTCTTGTTGAGGTTCTTCCGTTTCTGCAGCGTATCTAGAAAGTTCATAGATGCTGCTGTGGGCGATTTGTATGCAGTCATTCGCAAAATGTCCACTTCGTTAGTACGAAGAGTGAGGGGTAGCAGCAACGAGATCCTAAAAACGTTAGCGGACAGGATGGATTCAGCTGTTTTACGGAGGTTCACTGATTTGCACGTTCTACGTGTTAGTGAGCCACCTGAGTGCCTGGGTTTGTGCCGTTTGCTATAAGTAATTATTTAATACATTATTTGTATAGGAAATGAAACAATTTTTCCGGATTTATGATATACATTGTACATTTTTATAACTATATGATAATAATAAATAATGACAAAGATAGGTGCTTATTCCTAAGGCCTCGTGTACATCAAAAGTTAGAATTTAGATTTTCAAAAATTATAAAATTTATTCTTTATTACCTATCTTTTTTTTTAAAAGTATTCACCATGAACACGTATACACTTTATATTAGGAAATAAAACTATTTTTCTGGAATTAAATCGCGTATATTTGTTTTTCAAATAAACCAACGTTTCGGGCCCTTTACATGTCCCATGGTCACGGTTGACTGAGGTGGTAAAGTCGTCAACCAGTTATGGCTAATATTAATGCAAACCACCTTATTTTTCACTATAAGTTACAAAAGTTATTAATTAAATACCTATTTTTAAATTTTACAAGAAACATTCCAATTCACGCTGCATATGTTTTACAATTATTTTATTTTAACTACACGTTGATTATTAATTAATAATTAATAGTTAATAAATTATTATTCGTAATTATTTTTATTTTATTTCATTCAAATATAATTAAATTTTATGACAGAAATCCATACTGACTGCGAAAAAAGCTTCTTCTTCTTAGTGTGTTGACTCTGATATTTATATTTGTGAGGATCAGTACTCAGCGACTGTCACAGTATTAACAGTGGCGTTGTACAGGTCCTCGCGTGTGTAGGTGTAGGGGCACACAGGACAAGACAAAAGATGTGCCGTAGTCTGGGAAGAGATAACACAAATACATGCGCTCTCAGAGTTATAACCCCACCTGCTCTCCTTGCTTCGGCCGACTTGGGTCCGCAATCTATTTAGAGACGTCAAAGTTTGGCAAGGTAGATTATGCCCAGGAGCAAGGTGCTCCTATAGCGGACTTAGTGATGACGTGGCGTATCTCTCCTTCCAGAGTCTTATACTGACTTGTTTAGTTTCCCCGTCCAGAGGGACGGTCTATAGCTATATAAGGAGAGGGAGGGGCTATAGCTTCATTAAAGATACTTCTTTAGCTAAGGGGTGCCGCGGGTCAGTCTTTTTTTTAAGCACTCCAAAGTGCTAGCCACGTCTCTGCGGACGTCCAAAAAACAGTCACTTATCAAAGATAAAAAAAAACAAAAAAAGTTAATAAGTTAACAGCTTATCAGACATTTGGAAGAACCATCGCGACTAAACTAGCCTTCAAATAATATAAAAAAAAAACAGTTTGAGATCAGTCCTTCCATGTGGAAGCTACGACGCCACAGACAGACATATAGACAAGGCTTCAAACTTATAACTCCTCACTTATTTCGTCGGGGGTTACAAAGAAATGGAGCAAGACTTAATTAAAATTTTGCAAGTTACAAAGCAATTTTAATTATTAATCTGACACTTCGGACTAACGGAAGCTTATCTTTATTGGAAAAAAATCCGTTTTGTTTAAGATTTTACTAATTTATACTTATATAATAATTTTTGTGTTTGGGACACAAAGTTGTTAAACTTTGTGTA